ACCTCTATCGATCGTGGACTGAGTATACCACGAGGTCACCCGCACCTAAGTGCATTCCGTTTTCTGACCACTGGCCGACATAGAATGGTTTGGCTCAAAAATTAATGTGGCTTTCTATTTGTAAGAGCGAGAATCTGGACTCTTCAAGATGACCTTTGTCAACAGGAATCTAAAGTCCACAATTTGGATTTGTGATGGTAGTATCAAATCTGAGTGAGCAGATAGACCAACCGAGCGAGCCAGACAGCCAATGGGAGGCGGGCGTGACGGATTTGATTACTGGACTCGGATTGGCCGATATTCGTGTGAGTGATTCACCGTTTGTTTAACTGAAGCAAAGGAGGAACCTCATCGACTCGGAAGGGTCGTTAGTTATAATCTTGAACGTGCAATTTATATCAAGGAGTTTGGCTCGCTAAACATGCTGTAATTTTCACTGAGCTGTCTTTGCCGAATAAACGCTTGTCCCTGAAGGACGGAGTTCTGCAACAGGCTTCGGTAGAAGGAAATCGTGAAGTTGCAGCTATTGGTGTTGAGTTGATCGCGAAATGTTCAAAAGATGTGATGGATGAACTTGAGCTAGAGAATGCATAAATTACTCTTGATGGGGCGGGCCATATCCCCCATTGGAGTATGAAGTATTGGTGTCATAGAAAACTGCTGTAGCTGAGCAGTTTCGGGTAATAGACTTTAATTGGTACGATCAATGCTTGTGCGGTACTCGCTGTTTTCAGTGATCCGTCCCGCTACGTTTTTTTTGCAGCGTTCGCCATGTCTTACTACTTTGGGAATGGGTGCATGTGAAGTTGCGGTTGGTAATGAATTATTTTCCAGATGCCTTTACTAATGAAGCGGCTGTTTGTTTAAAAGCATGGGGAGATAAAGTGAGCACATGCTGCTTACGTTCGCGCGGCTGCGACCTCAATTGAACCATGCAAAGTGCAGTTGCTCCAGATGATAAGGTTCTTTTAGTGACTGGATATGTTGAGTCAGTATCGGATCCAGGGTTGTTAAGTAATGTTGCGTCGATTTAATCCTCTGTGCATGTCCTGGTAAATTTAGATTCCTCGTTTTTTGTTTTCTCACAATCAGTGACAACCTTGTCTTAAAAACTCCCATTGTTAGGTTCACCCATAGTAATCAAGACTGTCAAAGTTTCAGGTAATGTTTGACTTGGGGCAGATTGTCAGTTTGCTGCTAAACAAACGGATTAACTATCCAGTCATGAACGCTGTGAAAACGCATCAGCAGTACGCCGGTACGCAACACCGACGCTTCGGTGCTACGCATCCACTACCAGTCGCACGTGGGATAAGGGTCCTGCAAGGGTCGAACCCGCGCCCTCGGATTACAAGGCAGGGTTTTGCTCCTTAAAGCTACGGTCTGGCGTTTTACTTATGCAGTGACACCGAACGGATTTACTTTATTATTCCCGAAGTATTCTCATTGCTATAATTATTTCCTTTTCCGTAATATCTTGGCCATAGCACTGATCGCTATGCTCTGCTTTTTGCATGCATATCTTTTACACTGGTGCTTCATTCGAGTCGCATTTGTTGCATTTTCACAGGGGTCACGCACTGATGTCAAATTTGGTAGATCTACTCAACTTGGCAGCGTCTACGGATTCGTCCGTGCTTGTCAAGGCCGGTCAACAGCTAGTATCGTTAACTTCCACAAGTGATTCCTTGTCTCATGTGTGCATCGATCTTGCACATATTGTATTCGGCTGCGATCCTTCACACTTAACTCTGGATGGCCGTTTCATTGGTCTTATTCATTTGAAAAATATGATCTCTGATGCTTCCATATGGCAGAACCTTGCGCAAAATGAACGAGATCTCTTCCGTAGCCTGTTGCTCAGCTACCTGTCATCGGGTTGCAACTTTCCCTTAAATTTAAACGAGGTTGAACAAATCCCGCGCATTGGTCCTACTGTTGTTGAATTGGTGGCTCGTTTTGTACGAAACGAGTGGCTGAAAACCGGTTGGAACGACGTTTTTTGGGAACATCTAAGTAACTGTTGCGCTTGGAATTCCTTTCGCTTGGCCATTCGAGCTGCTGCCAGTTTTCGTCTTCCTGCTCGCCGGCGTGCTTTCATTCACCTTGTTCAGACAATCATTCCCAGTCTGCTTCACAACTGGAAAACTTCTGTTTCCTCTCTAACCAACACCAAATGCTGTCTGCAGCTAACTCGTTTATTATGCACCTTGTTCGCTTCGATTGGCGGTACTCCTAAAAGCGGTCCTTTTTTATTCGAAAAAAATGATTCCGCACACGCTGGCGAAGTTCTTGAATCTTCATTTACCGCCTTGCTCAGATTATCTACTGGTGATCTCAGTCCAACGGAATGTTTTGGTCCAGGTCGTCTGTTCCGACACTTGTCGAAACTCACTTTGGTCACTTTCATGGTTTGTTCGCCTGAGGTCAGAGACCAGTTCGTTCACATCACACTTATGCGTGTCGCCAGCCTGATCTCTTCCCACCATCTCTCGGTCCCTGGATATGTGGACAGAAAATCTGTCTCGTGGCTTCTCGCCCTACTTTATGGCATTCTTTCCTCGGACGGGGCTGATTGTGGTGCACAGTTATCGATTCTCGAAAGCGGCGCATCTGAAGTGAGAATTGTGTCTTTTTCTCTATTGCATACTTTCCAACGGTCTGCAGCGTTACGTTTAGCTAACAATGCATTGTTTCTGTTCTGCATCAAAATAGAAATCCATGATCTGTTTCTGAACACCATTTTGCCAAACAAACTAGTTGCTCGTAACGACCGATTAATTATCTATCGATTTTATTTAACAACCTTTTTTGATTTACTGTAAGCATCAATTGGTTCTTAAGGGGCACTGCGTCATTTTTCATTCGTGTAAAACTGACTACATTATCAAACTGTTCTTCTTTGTTTGTAGTTCGCTGTCTTCTGGTCCAGGGGATCATGTGTGAACATGGAATCATTAAGTACTTCGCCTTTTAGGTGTTCTGTGTGAGCGAGTAAAAGGAAACATGAAGCACTGGAGTTTACATCAAGTTAGCTGCACTGCCTGTTGTCCGATCACCCGGGTGCAAGGTGCAGGGACTGGAACGGGTTCAGCACTTAACGACCAAACATATATCCAGTTTAATCTGTGTCGTTCACAGACCGGCGCAAGAGATTAGGGCTGTACACCCTGTCGTATCGTCAGTTCCCATTTGACCACATAATGACGCACCAGATATTGCATCTGTATCACTTCCCCATGCTGAGGCCACTGCTCTACCTGCGTGCACCAAGCAGGCACCGACACAGACTTGTCGTTCCTGACATGAAACGGAAAGCTTACTTTCTGCGCTTCGAGTAGCGAAATATTGGATCAGTTTGCCGAGACAATAATCAAGGCAAAATCGGTGTTAGAATCCAAGCAATTTCTAGGCGTTCACTTTGCGGATTTCCCATTTTGAGAGCGGGGTGAAATCAATGCCCATTGAACTCTTCATTCGACACACACACACACACTTCATTAAGTGATCGTGTTTACTCTAAGCGTATCAACTACCAGTATGTTACGTCATTTTGTTACTTATACGTAGCCAAATAAGACCTCGCTGAGTTAGCTTCTATCTATCTTAGATTTCCTTTGCGTTTCTGGGCTTCAGGATGCTTAATCTTTTGTAAGGAAATGTGTTTATCCACTGAACTACAATCTAAGCACATAATTCCAGTGCATTTGATCGTTTTAATTGTATGTAATATACTTGTTGGAAACGTATATATAGTCCATCAGAACGGCATCTCCGGTTGCGGGGTTTGAGGTCATCATTGACTTCATGACCACATTACGCCAGACTGCGATCTAATGGCTGAGGACCTTAGTCCAGAAAGTCTCATCCAGAAAGTTGGCGGACATCATCCCAATATACTAAGATGATCAGCTTCTCCATGTTTGTTAACATATCACTCTTTGGGCCCAGGATATGAAAGTATTGCGAATCCAAGGCAAAGTTGATCGATGCGAATTCCGTGGACTGATCAAAAGCGCGGTTGCCCAGGTGTTAGAGAAAGCACTATTGCACGCGGAATAGAAGCACGATGCGTACACTCCCATTCGATTTACTAATCCAGGCCAATAAGGCGGCGTATGTGATACGTTTGCCTGCGTGACGAGTATTCTTGCATTTCAGAAGTAGATTTTTTTGAGCTCCCCAGTGTGGCTGCGCCTGATGTGATTATTGACAAGGTACCTACCTGTATACTACCCTCCACCTCGATTGCTGGCTCCAGGAGACAGTTGCTCTTCGCTGGAGGGGACGGGGTGCCCCTTCCTCGGGACGTTGCTAGGCTCAAAGAGTGGTTCTATGCAACCAGTGTGGAACGGGCTACGGCCCAGCCACCGCCTTATGTACGTCTGGTGTGCATGATTTTCAAGTTAGGCCGGAATGCTTCTGTTCTGCTCGTTGAAGGAGTGTGGTCCGGCTCCGTTGATGAAAGGTGGCTTCCATTCACATGCCTCCCGGTCTTATTCCTTCTTGTTTACACCGGATATGGGATATATGGGTGGAACTGTGGGTGGTGCAGTGTTAGCCACCCATGGTCCCTCTGTAGGCGCACACATCCTGTGGTTGTCTCCATGGAGGCCACAGTGCCAGGCAAATCCGGATACGGATGCCGCCAATCCATTTGGGCCCTCTAGTGTTCCAGTCAGTAATTGCAACGTCGGTAAACAAGTCTGCCGTGCGACGATGTAAACAAGTTACTTGAAGCCTAAACTTCCCGAGTTTAAGTCCAACTCCTTTCTAGTTTTTGGGACTTGGAAAAGTCCTAACTCACGTACAACCGTTAGCTGTTGAATCGAAGTGCAGACACAAAGTGCTTTCGCTTTGCTACCACGGAACCATAACAGTGTCCAACTTGGTGGTAAGATAGAGAAAGTCATGAGGGAACCAATCACGAAACATAAGTCTTAAGATACAGCCGAGGGGAAGGCGCTCACACTTTGTGGACACCGTGAGGCCCAAACACCTAGCTACGTTATAAATACGCGGCTGTCTCACTGTCTAGTACCGTACTGATCGAATCGCCAGTACAAAATGCTGGTGTACTATGTATATTTTTTAAAATCTTTTCTTGATTAGTAATCATCAAACGTACGAAAATATGGCTTCAACCAACCCAATAGATTCAGTGGTTGCATGTGATCAATAGCGATGCTGGAAGCTCCGCTACTGAACCAACACCAGCGAACGTGGTCATTAAATTCTCCTTTGGCCTACTTGCGTTAGATCGTCAAAGCCTGCCACTCTGCTGTTATCCTGTTAACTCAGTGGCGAAATGGATGAGGCATTTAGCTTGTAATTCCACAGGTCGCCGTTTCGTGCACACAGATGCAAGCGAATTCGCAGTACGCCCAACTCGTACGTGACTTGTGGTGGTCACGTGGTACCACGTATCAGCGTACGGCTGACACCTTTGACTTTAGAATCAAAAGAGTGTTAGGCGAACAAGCTTGTTTTCGGTGGTTCGCATCAGGCCAACACACCACAGATGATAGGAATAACTCAAACACAGTGTATTTAAATACGATGAATCAATGAAGTGAATTGACCGGTTAATGCGATCAAGTGACCACACTGGCTTGGGCATCATTAGTGGAAGGGTCAAGCGTATTGTCGTAACATGGGGAAGCTTGAGGCCATGGCAGCTGTAGAGCCTGTACAAACTTCTTTTGGGCACATAACTCGGGATTATGGAGCCGAATAGCGATTGCTTCCGCTGTCACCAATAGGCGACATCGGAGGGCTCGCGTGTGGCGTCCAGATATCATGTAGATAGGCCGGAAGGCCTCTCACACATTCACTTGGTGATTTGTGTCGACCAAATGCCCCAACACCGCGCTGACTACTGTCTTTCTGACACCAGTGTAGAGCCACGCCGGGCAATATTCTCGTACTCTCTCAGACAGTCTCCTGGCCGTCTTTCCAATATAACTTGCTCGACACGAGCAAGAAAAATGGTACACACAGAAGGAAATATTCGACCTCGGCAATCTGTCCTTGAGATGCTGGCTCACGACTTTAAATATCCCTCAGCATGCAGCCATCGTGCTTTTGATGTGCACAGTAACGCTAGTTACAGTATAGCATTGCACTGATTTTTAATCGACAATAAAACACCTTTGTCTCCGTAGACTTGAGGTATTGTACTTTCTGGTTGGTGAGTTGGACATGGGAAACCGTTCAACTATTTGGATAGGTTAGCTGGTCCACCGCTTCCAATGGCCGTTACGTGTCTGTTAGGCACCTTCCCACAATTCCAAAACTATATGACAGTATTTCGCACTGTAAAGCTTCGGAGCACGCGCTAAATCATTCAGCCCCCTTCAATATACTGAGAAGCACTGGTTAAAAGACTCTGACCTCTGTATCGTTCGTATACTGAGCGTTTACCAGTGGTTACTCTAACAGGACTTCTGCACTTGGAGAAGCAGACGAGACATTTTATTTGGTTTTTGAGTACCTGCTGTGTGTTTCGGTTGCGGCACGCAATCACTAGTTGAACCATTATTTATTTTGTGGTAACTCACGCGGAAATGTTACAAATTTTTCAACCGAACATTTTCAAAAGCTGCTTCTTCAGCAACAATCCCACATGGAAGCACAAATGAAACTGATTGAAAGTTTAACGCAGTGCTTAAACGTACAATCAAACGGAGCAGCTACACGGGACACGCAGGCTGTTTCACTTGATCTTCTTACGAATTCAATCACTGAATTTCATTATGATACTGATTCCGAATGCACTTTCGAGGCGTGGTTCAAACGTTGGGAGGATATGTTCCAGACGGATTTCAGCCGTCAAGATGATTCATGGAAAGTGCGTCTTTTGCTCCGCAAGCTCGGTACTAATGAACATACAAGATTCCTTGACCACATATTGCCCAAAGAGCCGAAGGACATAACTTTCAACGAAGCAGTGGCAACACTCAAAGAAATTTTTGGTGAGTCGATATCTTTGTTTAGCATTCGCTATCAATGTCTAAAAATTGTAAAGCGTGATACAGACGATTATGGGGCACTAGCAGACATGGTTAACCGTGAATGTGAACGTTTCAAGTTACGCTGTTTGACGGATGACCAGTTTAAGTGTCTTATATTTGTCAGTGCTTTACAGTCTCCACGCGACGCGGAAATCCGCACTCGGCTCCTTGCTAATTTGGATCAAGACCCAGATTTGACATTGAAGTCTCTTGTAGGCGAATGCAAACGGTTAATTACCTTGAAACACGACACGGCTATGATTGAGCAGAGTCGCCCCACCATTGCCGATACTGTTCATGCTGTGCAAAAAGCAAGAAAGCCTGGCTCGAATAAGTCGTTCAACAGAAAGCCGAACAAGCCGCCTACACCTTGTTGGTCATGTGGTGAATGGCATTTCGCACGATACTGTCCATTCAAGCGTCATATTTGTGATAAGTGCCATAAACGCGGCCACAAGGAAGACTTTTGCCATCAGTCCCGGCCAAGAAATGTGAAGCAGTCCTACCGAAGGAAGAACTTCAGAAAACCTGACGCAGAATCACTATCGGTGATTGCTACGTTTCACAGCGATTCTAAAACACGCCGCCGATTTATCACTGTGCTTATCAACGGAATCCCAACCCGGCTGCAGTTCGATACGGCATCAGATATAACGATCATTTCCAAGAACACTTGGAAGCACATAAAGAAGCCGAAGATGATTGATTCCAACAAAGTCGCTCACAATGCATCCGGTGGAGTGCTGAAGTTGGTCGGAGAAATAAATTGCAAAATTGCATTCAACGGAGTGGAAAAGGCCGGAACCTGCTACTTGTCTGATCGACCAAACTTGAACCTCCTTGGACTTGACTGGATGGAAAAATTACAACTGTTTGATGTTCCAATGAGTCAGATTTGCAATAGAGTACAAACCGACCCAGTACATTCATCATTGTCGATAGAAGAGATGACCAGAAAGCTAAAGCAGCAGTTTGTCGCCTTGTTTGAAGATGGTCTCGGCCACTGCACTAAGTTCAAAGCAAAGTTGTGTCTTCGTGAAGGAACCAAGCCAGTCTTTAGAGCAAAAAGACCGGTACCGTATGCAGCCATGACAGCAGTTGATCAGGAGCTCGACCGACTGGAACGAGCCGGTGTCATCACACCAGTGAACTACTCTTCATGGGCTGCGCCGATTGTTGCTGTGAGAAAGCCGAACGGTAAAGTGCGAGTCTGCGCCGATTTTTCGACTGGCCTGAATGCCGCATTGGACGACCATCAATACCCCCTTCCGATACCAGAGGATATCTTTGCCAAGCTGAATGGTGGGAAGTGTTTCGCCAAGCTCGACTTGTCCGATGCCTACCTCCAGGTTGAGGTTGATGAAAGCTCAAGAGAATTGCTGACCATCAACACTCATCGTGGCTTGTACCAGTACAACCGCCTCCCTTTTGGCGTGAAAACAGCACCAGCCATCTTCCAGCAGCTGATGGACATCATGCTCGCGGGAGTTTCTGGAGCCGCGGCGTACCTGGATGATATCATTTTAATGGGTCGGACGGCAGAAGAACTATTTCAGCGGCTCGCTGAAGTGCTTGTACGTATCCAGTCATATGGTTTCCGTATCCGCGAAGACAAGTGTACCATTTTTGCACCAACCATCAAGTTTCTCGGTTTCATTTTCTCAAAAGACGGTCGTCGCCCGGATCCAGAAAATATCCGAGCTATTCAAAAGATGCCCCCACCTGTGGACTTGCAGTCGCTGCGTTCATTCTGTGGCCTAATCAGTCATTACAGCGCTTTTCTGCCCGAACTACATCGCCTGCGTGCCCCGTTGAATAAGTTGCTGAGCAAGGGCCAAACCTGGAATTGGACGCCAGAATGCCAGACTGCGTTTGAGCGGGTCAAGTCATTGTTGGCTTCAGACTTACTCCTAACTCATTTTGATCCTTCCCGGGAAATTGTCCTTGCCACAGACGCATCGAGTCTAGGGATCGGTGCCGTAGTTTCCCATACGTTCCCAGATGGATCTCAGAAGGCGATCGCACATGCCGCCAGGACGCTAACGAAAGCTGAAAGAAACTACAGTCAGATCGAGAAGGAGGCATTGGCCATAGTGTTTGCTGTGAAGAAATTTCACAAGATGCTGTATGGTCGCCGCTTCAAACTCTTGACGGATCACAAGCCGCTGCTGGCCATTTTCGGCTCGAAGAAGGGAATTCCTGCCTATACAGCCAATCGACTCCAACGATGGGCATTCACCTTGCTGGGCTATGATTTTGAAATCCGTTATCAGTCAACGAATTCGCTGGGCCAAGCAGATGCGTTGTCACGCCTCATTGATTCCCAGCAGCAAGAACACGAGGACACCATCATTGCCTCAGTTGAGATCGAACCTGATGTCAAATTCCTGGTGAGCGAGGCACTACATGGTATGTCAGTTACGGCCGATGCTGTGCGGGCCGAAACGCTTCGAGACCCAATCCTGAAGAAGGTGACACACTTCCACAGAACCAGCTGGCCACGTTCGTGTTCATCTGCCGAAATGCAGCAGTTCTATCAGCGAAGACATTCGCTTTCCATTGTGGACGATTGCATCATGTTCTCAGACAGAGTAGTCATCCCGCAGGCGTTGCAAGAAAGAGTGCTGCGACAGTTCCATGCAGGACATCCAGGGCTCAACCGAATGAAAGCGCTTGCCAGAAGTTATGTGTATTGGCCGTTTATGAATAGACAGCTGGAGCAGCTAGCTAGAAGTTGTGGCAACTGCGCTACCGCCTCAAAGGCACCGCCGAAGACTGAACTCCACTCATGGCCTAAACCAACTAAACCTTGGAGCCGTGTTCATGTCGACTTTGCAGGCCCAATCAATGGCCAGAACTTTCTCATAGTGGTCGACGCTTATAGCAAGTGGCCCGAAGTGTTCCTCATGAGAAGCACGAAAACCAGCGCAACCGTCTCTAGGTTGCGACAAATCTTCAGCAGGTTCGGCTGCCTTGAAACATTGGTGACGGACAATGGAGCACAGTTTACTTCGGCCACATTCACGGAATTCTGCCAACGTTGCGCCATCAAACACGTGCGGTCTCTAACATTCCACCCACAATCGAATGGCCAAGCGGAGAGGTTTGTGGATACATTCAAACGCGCTCTCCTCAAATCAAGGAGGGAGGGAGACATAGAGGAGCTGATCGACCGCTTCCTTTTTCTGTATCGATCTACACAAAATTTACAAACACCGGGTGGAATATCACCAGCAGAGGCAATGATGAAGAGAAAACTTCGCATGCCATATGATGCAGTTCGGCCGTCCTCAGAGTCCATAGCTGGTGAAAGGAACCTAAAGATGGAACGTGATTTTAATCGGCGGTTTGGTGCCAAGCAACGTTCGTTTAGACCGGGTCAGCCAGTACTTGTGCGTGATTATCGGGGTGGACACGCGAAATGGACGTCAGGCACGATCCAGCGCAAGCGCGGAAGCGTCATTTACGACGTGCTGGTTGGAATGCAGGTATGGGTACGCCATGCAAACCAACTGCGAACAACAGTGTGTCAGCCACAAGCAACAGAATCCGCCAAGCTTCCATTTGACCTGTTGACAGACAGCTTCAACTTGCCTACAGAGCCAGTAGAAGAATCCTGTCATCAGAGGAATGGTACCAGACCGCAGAGCACGGAATCCGAATCCAGAACACTACAGCCAAGGCGATGCACCGGTAGGCGAAGACCTCCTTCCAGGAGGCTTCAGGTTAATCCCAGGCTAGTATCATACATAACGGCAGCAGCTTCAGGAGGGGAGGTATCCGGGAATCAGATAAAAACATAAAAGAAAAAAGGAAAGTATATAATGGTGATTGAAAGCTGGGCTGAAGGGAATCGCCTACCCCGTGCGGTCGATCAGGCAATCGATCGAGCGGACGAATGCGTTTTCAAACACCCAGCTAATTGTACTTTTGCCTCAGAGTTGAGAGGGCAGTGTTTTCGGCGGCATTATCTGGCTACGTTGGCAGAGCTTTTGTTAACACGTTTTTCGTGGTCAAGACTGTTGGAATTTTGATTTTTCTTCGGCTGGGCTAGAATTTTTGCGGAGAAATTTTTGGGTGGTTAATTCGGAATAGCGAAAAAAGTGAAGATCTAACAGGTTGCGCCACGCAATCAATAGTTGAACTACGATTTATTTTGTGGTAACTTACGCGGAGTTTCATACTCTTGGACCGTAACGTCATCCATCGACCACTACGTGCTCAGTACCACTTTTGGTTTCAGCTATCATTTCTTTTTGAGGGATCCGAACAGTGGTTGGAGAATACATCGTTGAAATTGTGAAACCCACAAAATCTCTAAAGTGGACCCGTTCATCAACCGTCTTCTCTGTCCCAAAGCTCGAGAGATATAGCTTGTGGGATACCCTGGCCCACTCTTCTTATTGCCCTTGACTTGGGTACATACTATTCGCGAGATAGGCTGTGTTACATAAGTTCTCAACTAATTTATCCGCTTTGCGCTCTTAGGTCTGTAATACTTTAAGGTAGCTTTCCTTTTATACGTGGGGATCTGATTAATACACACCAGTGCACTCTCCTTTATTATTTGCTTTGCTGCAATCTCGATTATGAATTAATTACTATTTGATATTCGCGCAAACTTTCCTCATTTCCTCTTCTGAGGTCCGCAGCTGGCTCTCAAGTCCACTCGGAGTCGACTCAACTAATCTGTCAGAGCTACTTTGCGTTTTGCTTCGGACATGGTTCCCGTTGTCGGAAACCGAAGTCCACAACCTTGTCACTGATCCCGAGCGGTGTCTGTCTGCTGGGGGCGCATCAGATTCTGCACAAGTGGATAGTTCAGGTGGATTTGTTACGTATGCCATATCGATTTGGGATGTGGATTCGCATACCGCCGAATTGTACAAGCTGGATCTGCGATCGCTTCTGGGGATGCACGGGGCTGAGCAGCAAACGGGCTCGTTTGAATCTACTCGACAGTTGACAGAGTTACTCATCACGCTCCTCATAAGGCACTATGGAGCGAGCGTCGGGACACTTCTTTTACAAATCCTCTCGGTATGCATCTTATCGTTGATACATCTGGCAACAGGGCTCAGTGGTTTTATGACTGGTTTTTCTCGTTGTTGCTCCTACCTTTTTCACAGTTATCTTCTCTAACCTTTCTCTCTGTCCTACACTATGCATTTGATCAATTTGCTCCCATAGAACTGAGTACATCTTTTTACTATTGGCTCCTGTTTCGATCAACTTCCAACCCCGTCGTTTGTACTTAGCCAACGAGTTCACTGTCATTGTCTGAACTCACAGCTCTCGTTAAAATACGGGACGGTTTAAAACCTTTATTCCTTTGATTCGGTTGATCGATGTTCCCTTTGTGACTGTATAATGAGGAAGGGTGTGCCCGAGAAATATGCATATATTATCCGAGCGGTATTTTCGCGTAGGTCGGGCAGAGTGAGGGATTACGACAAGCTTTCGCCGGCCTTCAATATCTCCAGTGGTGTGATGCAAGGTTGCCCGCTATCATCTTTCCTCTTTAACTTCGCCATTGACGAAATCATGAAAACGGCGTTCACTGAGCACAACTTCTCGACGGAGCATACCGATGACATCACACTTTTCTGTGGTAGCTCAAACGTGCTAATTTGCACTAGATAAATTAGCTCCGGCTGTCAGTCGTTTCGGGCTAAGCTTTGCTCCATCGAAATGCAAAGTCCTTCCGCAAGGTTGGCAGGTTGGCGCTGACCCTTGGTGGTAATCATCTAGAAGTCGTTTAGGAATGCAAGTCCCTGGGCAGCTGTATTTGCGCCCGTTGGATTGAAGATGAGATTACGAATCGAATAGCAAAAGCTCGAGGCGCTTTTGCTAACTTTCGCCACTTGTGGCGCCGGCGCGACATCACTCTCGCCATAAAGGGTAGAGTGTTCAACGTAGCCGTCCGTTCACTTCTCCTTTATGGCTGTGAAGCCTGGCCCATTAAATCAGCAGGTAGAGAGGCTAACTATGTTCTACCATCGCTGCCTTCGCAATTTAGCTCAGGTCTAATGGGAGCACAGCGTAAGCAATGCGCGTGTTCGGCGTCACGTTGTTGGTTCAGTAAGAGCAGGTGAACCGCTCAGCACGGTTATATCACGCACCAGACTGCGATGGCTGAGCCACGTGTTGTGCATGTCAGCAAACCGACTCCCGCTTCGTGCATTGTGTGCGCGCCAGGGGTGTGAATGGAAAAAGAGGAAGAAAGGATAACCCCATGACTTGGTCTAGAGAAATGAAGCCTCACCTCGGAGTTGGCGTCGGTTGTTGTTTTCCGACCGCCGGACAGGTACCAGAGGATAATGAACACGTTTAATTACATACACTAGCCGACGTGGCTCAGAGTCGACCTCAGTGTCGTTTGTGTTGTAAGTTTCTTTGTCCCCCCCCTTCTCTTAAGTTTCTCCCTCCAACAACCATCCAAAATGGGCTATTGTCATTATGTTATTTTTTATTGCTTTTAAGTCTATATTGTCTAACCTCTTATCTTTTTTATTGCAGTACATTAGCTGTGGTGTGTTTCTAATTCTCGGTTATTGTTTGTTAATTACTACCATTATTATTCTAATGGGGGCCTCACCTGGCGATTTACACCTCCTGACTAATGCAACGACTTCCACTCTTCTCTTTTCCCATTGGAATTTCATTTCGAAGACTTTTTCTACTACACATTCGTTCCACAGTCTGTACCATAAGTAATCTCTCTAGATATCAGTTGTTCTTCCTCTATCCTCATTTTATGCTGTGATGTAGAAGCGAAGCAATACCTTGGGCGACAGAGCATTGATATTCTATTTGACTTGTTAAACATAGCGCTTATAGGAATAATTCAGTTTGTATCCTCTCCCTGAACTTCTTCATGCTTGTGTGGTGCACGTCGAATCATGACCATTCAGCGGATAGCTTCCGTTTGCACCCGAGATTCGAGAAATAGTCATCTATCTTTAATCTGCTTCCCTGCTGGTGGTCCGGATTATCTTGCATTCGCTCCATCCAAGGATAGTATAAGGCCATGCGAAAAAAACTGGTGTCTTTCTCCACAACTGAGAAAATGTCTCAACCCTCGGTCAAGCAAGTTTATCACGATGCACTGCGCACTGAACTTTCGCTATCTTGTCCTAATGACACTGGGCTTCAGTGGAATAGCATCTCGGCCTTTATGCACGACGCAGGAGCATCTGCTCGTGGCACTATCACTCATTACCGCACCAGTCACTGGATATCCGAGAGGTCAGTAAACCTGTTGGAATCCAGAAGGAAACTCCTGGCTCTCTCTGAGCACAATGTGAACAGACGGACTAGTATGCGCGAACTAGGGCGGAGCCTGCGTGCTGACAAGGAAGCCTGGTGGACCAGTCGGGCTCAAGAAATGGAGGACGCGGCAGCAGTAGGGAATTATCGCAAACTTTTCCAGCTGATGCGCACCACTGGTTCCAGAAAACCAGGCGTCAGTGGGACTATCAGAGCGCCGTATGGCTCGTTGGGCGAAACACTTTCCACAGCCGTTCAGTTTTTCTCCTGCTTCTGTGCTTCTTCCTACTCAGGTGATGCAGAACAAGCCATGGATGGTTAGTTTAGAGCCTGTCGGAGGCTGATGTGCGAGGCGCGATCGCAGCCCTCCATCGTTTTCGTGCTTCTAGCCCTGATTTTCTCCCGCCTGCACTATTTAAGGATGGAGGTGAGGTCCTCTGCATGGCACTGGCCTCCCTATATGAAGATATCTGGAGGGCAGAGTGTCCCGTCTAGTGAGTGAATCGATTATAATGGCAATATACGAGAAGTGCAGTCGCACAGACTGTGCCAACCACAGGGGTATTAGCCTAACACCGGTGGGGACAAAATTACTGACCGCAATTCTCGTTCGTCCCCTCACTGTGGACGGGAATCTCAGATTAGGGAAGAGCAGGCAGGTTTCCGACCAGGATGTGACTATCTGTTCCATGTGTGGCAGGTGCTAGAGCAGCGTCACACATACCGCAGACGGACAATAGCTGTGTGTGTGTGTGTGTGTGTGTGTGTGTGCATCGATTCAGTAGATCGATGCATTCTGTTCGAAATACTTGCACATAAAGGTGTTCCCATTATATACGTGAACATTTTACATTCTCTATACTCGAACACGACAGGCCTTGTCAGGGTCTCCGGTGACCTGTCGGATAGCATTCTGACAACAAGGGGCGTTCGTCCGGATTGTCCGATTTTCCCGTTTTTGTTCGATTTCCTCGTGGACTCCATCATGGAGTGTTCCCTTACGGAGCGTCACGATACTGGAGCTGAGGTCCTTTTTTTAAAAGTTTGCCGTATATTACTGAAAATACACTCTTCCATAGATAAATCGACAGTACAACTTTGCAACATTAAATTTCTCCAAGGTTGTAAGTCCCTGTATTTGCCGACCCATGACAAATCAACGGAAGAGAAACGAAATTGTTCCTCCACGATTTTGACGTCATCAATACCTGCTCAAGTGAAACCTGCTGTATTATTGGTCAGTTGTTGTCATTGCAATTTGTTATGATCGCGGTTACTGAGGCGTTTGGTCCTCAGAACAGAATTTCACCGCACCGGACAGTGTATTGACCAGACGTCAAGCTACGTGAAACCGGTGAGAGGATGTCAGACAGGAAGGCCGCCTCGCATAGTCGGAGGCATCATGCACTGGGTGCGAGCGAAGTTCGCGGTCAGGGGTGTGGGATGGCGTCGTACTTTTAAGGCACCGGATCTCCTGGCTTTTGATTCGCTACTGTCATCCGTCGCGAACGTCACATGTGCAATACACAGAGAATTTTCGACTCAAAGGTGACGTGTCCAGTTACAGGCATTTCAAATCCCCGTCTACAAAACCATCCGTCACCAGCTGGTGGTACTAATAGGAGATAAGGGTAGTGGTGGGCAGTGAATTCTGTGGTAGATTTTGCATGCGCCTTTTTCAAATGCCGGATAGCTTTTTTACAAGTTGACCCCCTCTACAGAAACGAAAAATTGTCCGCAAATCATCGGCTTATATTCGGTAATATACGGTAGTTGCTCGTGATTATGCGGACGATATCTTTTTGTTGTCTAACGATAATAATAACAATAATAATAATGATAATAATACTACTATTACTACTACTAATAATAATGTGTCAGCTTTACGCCGTAACGGCGCTTCGCTGCCGCGCAACCACCACCAGTTGCGCGTGGGCTTAGTGTACCGCGAGGACGCCCACCCCTACGCAGATTTAAACCGGTGACCTCGTGATTGCAAACCAGGTACGTAGACCACTCGGCCATCGGCCAACGTTTAACGATGTTGCGGCAGCACAATCAACCCTAAATAGCTTCTCTAGAGTAGTCCCTTTATTTGGCATGCGCTTTGCGCCTTGCTGTAGGACCACTAGCCACTTGATAACTCCCTTGACCTTTGCTAACGAGGTGGTTGATCGATTCACTTACCTTGGCAGCTGTATCAACAAGGATGGTCGCGTAGAAGCTGAATCAGCTCACGCATTGCAAAGCCAGGACTGCTTTCTTTATTTGACGGTATCTTTGGCGACAGAAGAGAGTTTCCACCCGTCTAAAAGGCCTCGTTTACAAGACCACAGTGAGGGCGGTCCTGCTCTATGGAACTGAAACTTGGTCCCTTCGGTCTGAAGATCCGAGGCGCCTTCAAGTCTTTGGTCATCGTTGTCGGCAAAGCATTGCTGGTGTCGGGTGGCACCAGCGTGTCTGCAACGATGATGTGCGTAGGCGTGTTCTAGATAGTGATGTTTAAGCAATAGTTCCTTAAAACAAGTGGTGACATTGGGTAAGTTGTGGTGTCTTGGGTGCGTACTACGGACGCCTGGTCGCCGGTTACCTAGGAGGGCCTCGTTTAGTCCGCCAGGTGTAGGGTGGCGCAAAGCTAGAGGTGGACAGAATTTGACTTGGTAGCGGGAAATGAAGTCACTGACGACCAAACTGGGTGCCGTTGGTCCGTCTTGCCTTCCGGGCTGGAGTCCACGTGACTCGTCTTGTGCTTGGCTCGAGACTTTACAGGACATGGCTCGCAGCCAACACCAGTGACGCGTCTGCTGCCGTCTCATAGTTGGACTGTTTATTTAAAGTTTGTTTGGTGCAGAGTAATCTACGGAGTAATGGCTGATTCTGACGCGCTGCAGTGAAAGCCGCAAGGAAGCTCTCTCGCCGATGCCGCTTTATCTTTTTACGATAGCCAGCTGTTTGTGACGGTAAGCTGCTAACATAAACTGTAGGCGCCTTGACCCTGAATGTCTGCTTAAGTCATTAAGTTTTTCCTGTAAGTCCTTCTTCTCTCCCTAGTATTCTTTATTCCATAGGTCATCATAATCGTATGGCAGCGGGGCATCAGCTCAAATTGTTGTTACAATGCTGTCGTTCATTGTTGATTGATTGATCCTCTGCACAAATACCGTTAAATTGGTGAACTTTTCCACACCGTTTTAGGTACACTTTCAAGCTCATCGCTTTCAACCATTGTTCCGCTACATTAAACAATTGAGTATGTGTGTGATTTGGCAGAATACTTCGATTTATTTCTTCCATTATCAATTGAATTATTGAAAGACAGCCTACTGCTGTGCACTGAGAATATCGGTTTACAATCCAAAACATTCCATATCGCCGTATAGATTGGGTGGCGATGGGTAGTCCTTTGGGCCCAGTGCTAGCAGTTTTTTCATGTCGATGGTCGAGACGAAGTTGCTGGGGAAATATAGCTTCTTACTTATTATATGTGGTATGTAGATGATACTTTAGTGCTTAGCGGATTGCATATCTGACCGCTCACCTGCATAACATGCCTCCCATATCTGGACATGTTGATTTGCCAAAGAGCAAATGGTCCATCGACAGATCGGTTTATCAAAAGCCGATTTGGCCCGGGCTGTATCTGCACTTTACCGGCTTCTTCCAAATGCGGTACAAGCGGACCTTAGTCCAGATGCTGTTTAACCCTACAAGGAAAGTATGCTTCACCAACGGTGTAAGTGATGAGATAAGCTCGCTCAACGATACGCTGTTGCAAATAGCTGTCCAAGAAGATCTGTTGATAAACAGCCACACGAGCGTACGGAACGCTTGCTAAAAAGATCTACATCGAGTTCTCATTTAAGAGTGATTTTGCCAATAAGAGAACAACGAAGCGCATAATTTTCGTGGTCCGGCGAACTTATTACGCGGCTGGAACCCTTTTTATCAACTGTACCCCAACGACGCAGTGACAGCTTGTCGGTGCCAATTTACGTTGTATTTACCATTTTACTTGTAGGTGTGGTACAGGCTGCGTCAGCCGAACCGACAGAGCGGCGAACTCCAGAATAAGGGAACATGTACCTAAATGGTTACCGCGTCAAATCACACCGTCGTCGGTTGCTCAGACCACCTGTTCACCTTGGCCACCTGCCTCGTCCGTTTGATCCGGCCGCAATGTTTACAATCGCGTTAAGACACGCTAACACACGCTTCCTTCATCTTGCGGAGACAGTCACGATCAGGCGCATCAAACCCGCACTCTGTGCGCAGAAACAGCTGTCCTGGGCATAGAGCTGTCACATTTGTCCTTCACCCTGTCCTAACTTCTTTCGGCTTCACTCTATCTGTCCTCCTACATAGTTTCATGTTATTGTATTGGCACCGACGAGACACTATGAAATGTTAGCGTCTACCAGTTTTCGTCTTCTTACGGCTTTATTCAATATGCAATCGTTGGCCTCTCCCAACTAGCTGTTGCGAATCGATCGTAGTTGCCATGTTCAACACCCGTAAATGCAACGCATGTATCCACCTCAGATCTATCCGTTTGACACCAGTAGTATCGAACTTATAGACGTCTGATTTATAGATCTCACAGCAACTCAATACGCAGAGCCATGGGTCATATTAGCGCCGCATGTATAGCCTGCCGGCTGTAACCGCGTTATTCGGCTTTAAAAACTTATTCAAGTCCCTCAATTCCTCCGTCTTGTTCGGCATACTTGGCCTGGGAGATGCTTCCATTTCATTATGGTCTACATCGAATTGCCAGACGCCTGCCCTGTAAAGCTCGGAGCGAGTTGTTCCGTATCCTGTTGTCTAACCAATCTTCATCATTCATCTCGTCATGATGTGCTCTCTTGGAAAGTCTTGCAAGGTAATTATCAAGGTCATCATCATACACGTTAGCTAGAGGTGGGAACACCTCAGCTACTGTGCCGCAATACACAGAAAATAAGCGAAAAACAATGCAACTGTTGCGCGCCGGCTGAGCTACCTGTAACGGATGGGCATCGTTCCGGTAAGCTACTAGCCGGCTACTGTTCATCAAAAAATACTATGCGTGATTATATAAAGCTACATAATGAGATCGTGGTTGGAGGGGGAGGCTAAGAGGGATGGGGTGAGACAAAGAAACTCACAGCACGACCGCCACTGAGGTCGGCTCCTAGCCATATCGGCAAGTGTGTCCAACCAAACGTGTTCATCGTCTTTCAGACCCCAACCAGGGAGCCGAGACGCTCCAACCGAGGCCAGTTCAGAAGTGAGGGTCTTCATTCCTCTGGACCAAGTCATCGATTGGCCACCCCTCTTCTTCTTCCATCCACAACCCCGGCACGCAAACAACGCACGTCGCGGGAGTTGGTGGGCTGGCATGCGTAACACGTGGCCGAGCCATCGGAGCGTGATGCGTGAAATGACGATGCCGAGCGGTTCATTTCCTTTTCCTGTGCCGTAAACAAGGCGTCGAACACACTAATTGCTCACGCGGTGTTCCCACTAGATGTGAGCTAAATTACGAAGGCACCAGTGGTCGAACGTAACTAGCCTCTTCAGGTCCGCTGCTTTAAGCGGCAAGGTTTCGCAACCGTACAGTAAGGTCGAACGTACTGCTGCATTGTACACTCTACCCTTCAAGGCCAGAGTGATGTCGCACCGCCGCCATAAGTGGCGAAGGTTAGCAAAAGCGCCCCGAGCTTTTGCCGTACGATTCGTGATCTCATCCTCAACCCCACGGGTGCTAATTATCAAGGTATTGTCTGGGGAAAGGCTGATTAGTTTCGATTGTTCTGGTTGCTCCATCTTTCTGTCACTCTCGGTGCAATCTCCGGGGTGATCACATTTTTGTTACTCGTATTACATCTTGAGTGTGGCAGTCTTGTTGTAGTGCCAACAACCCTTTACCAACTCCTTTACTCTTTCATGGGGGCGCAAAACTATTGATAGGTAATCAGTTTAGATGTCTCCGTGACTGCATCCATTGTGTATAAATGGTTGTTTTGATGATTTTGTGATTCTCTTAGATCCAAAGTGGATTACCATGGCCTACGACATCTTCCTTACTGAATCGCTGTGCGATCTCTTCTCTAGCGGCATTGGGACCTACCATCCTCAGTGCACAAATCCCGGACACTCATAGCTCTTTAATCACACAGCTTTGAAAATCAGGTTGGACTAACACAAGACTTAAGAATGTTGCATTGCTCCGAACAAGCACCACATATTTTCTCTCATCATATATCGAGAAGGACTGTTTTTTGTTTCTTCGCTTCATATTAATCTCAAACTACATATATTTTTCTAATGATCCGATGTTATTCACTATTTTCAGACCATGAAACAGAAATCGACTACCGCCCTAGATTACGAATCGATAATGCGCGTCGTCCAGCTTTGTTTTCCTCATGTTGGGTCCGATGAATCTTGGATAACATTCACCGATTGTCTCATCACTGACAGTCTGCGGTTTGTCGAATGCAATTTCCCATTAATTCCTCAGGACGAAAACAATTCCAATGCGGTTTCTATCACCATCATGACTACTCGGGTGTTGTGTCTTCTCTCGAGATACACCATTTACTGCTCGCCCACAGGGAGTAAGGCTGCGTGAGTCCATTTTTATTGCACCCGTCAGCTTTTCCTCCATATTATACAACGTTTTTGCTTATAAAGCGTTCATGAGTCGAGTTCTGGGACACTGTTACCTTCACATTGCGGTAGACTGTTGACTGCTTTTCGAATTTCGTTTTTTCGCCGCTGGGCCTCCGAACTTCTATATATGTATATATATATATATATATATATATATATATATATATATATATATATATATATATATATATATATATATATATACATGGCGGGAAAGCCTATGGTGCGCTGTGGCTGGTGGTGGCTAGATTCTGACAGATGGTCTACCCACTGCTGTCACTGTTGTGCCATTGGTTCATGTCCAGGGCGCATCATCGTGGCGACCGCTGGGTGGGATTTGGGTTTCGCCCTGCGGTCTGCTAAGATCCAGGACACCAATCCGCATGAGTCAGTGAACTGACCATGTGCTAGACCCGCTGCCTTTCGTGTGTACATTTAATCGAACGTTTTGGCTGAGGACCCGAGTCGTTCTCCTGTCAGGAGTGGGTGCCCTGCCAATATCTAAGTCCATCCTCTTCGAAGATTAGGAAGTGGTCGATGGTCCTCTTGCCGTAAAACCTCGCCATGGGAGACAACAGGTCTACGGGTTATAAGCTCACAGCTCGATTGGCGTAGAGCACGAGTGCCACGCATTGTCTCTGATGGTGGGAGGGCACCTCCGGGTGTTCAATGGTTTGCTACTGCCCGCCTCAAGCCAGGCAGCCCCTGGTCAAATTAGTGCAAACCCGCCAAAACCCACCTGCGTCTGGCCGTGGTCGCAGGTGCGTATCCAATTACGGTCGCAAAACATATGATAATTGTTGCAGAACCTCAAAGGCTGCGTGTGACGGCCGTCAAGCAGATCCCGATCTGTCTCTGCAATCACATTCCCGAGCTGCATCTGCTCCCCACTGCCTAGTGCGTCAGGCTCTTGAGCCAAAGGCTCCGGGCGCAGTCCCTCAAGCAAACCTCCGAAGCACAGCGACCATCTCGCGTGCGATTGCACACCAATGCAATCGTAGGCCTGCGCGTAAAGCACTCAGCATCGGGTGCTGGAACATGCGCACACTACTGGACCGGAACTTCAGCGAACGCCCGGAGCGACGCACTGCACTCGTCGAGATGGAACTGGCGCGCTGCAACATCGATATTGCAACGCTCATTGAAACCCGGATCGTTGAGCAAGGTAAATTGCATGAAGCGGGTGCTGGCTACACACTCTACTGGGTGGGCAACGCCGTCTCAGCACTACGTGATCATGTGGTCGGATTTGCAATATCCGATCGCCTCCATGGCCAACTCGTGGGTAAACCAACAGGCATCAGCGAGTAACTGGTGACTGCTCGACTATGACTCGGAAGAGGTAGGTTTGCCACCTTTAGAAGTACCTACGGTCCGAGCATGTGTTATCCTGATGCCACACATGATCTATTCTACACTGAGCTATCCTCCGTGATGCGGTCTGTGCTGAGGAGCGACCGACTATTTCTGCTGGGTGATTTCAACGCGCGCGTTGGGCGTGATGCATCGGTGTGGACAGGTGTTATCGGTCCGCATGGCATTGGTTCAGCGAATGCGAACGGTGACAGGCTGCTCTCACTGTGTGCCACTCACGGCTTGACGATCACGAACACTCGGTTTGCACTGAGTGCGAGTGATATAGCAACTTGGACTCACCCACGGAGTGGTCACGCCCACCTGCTCGACTATGTCATCGCACGTCAGCGTGATATGCGTGAATTGCGCATGACACGTGTACTGCGTGGAGCTGAGTGTAGCACTGGTCATAAATGGGTGCGGACCAAACTGTACATATATTTTCGTAAATCTATGTATTGCACTCCCGGCGTTAACCGGCGTAAAGTTAACATTCTCTCCCTCGGTGCTGTGGCAAACAGTACTGAGCTTGAGAAGACGATGGCTGCGTGCCTGGGTGATGTGGAATGCATAACCACACTGGACGATCTGTGGCAACGTATTCGCGACCAGGTGACAGCTGCTGCCGAGGAGACCATCGGGCGCACAAGCTGTAAGCGGCCTGATTGGTTTGATGAGAATAATGTGACGATTAGCGCATTGGTGTGTGGGAGGAATGCAGCATTTGCTGCACATGTCTCAGACCCCAATGAGTTGGGGAAGAATAGTCAGTTTCGCAAACTTCGACGGCGACTGACTTGCGAGCTCTGTCGCATTAGAAATGCATGGTGGACGGAGAAGGCGAAGCAGATGCAATGCTACGCAGAACGTCGCCAACACAAGGAATTCTTTGACCCTTTGAAGGCGGTGTATGGACCGAGGTCGGAGCAGTTGAGGACGCTGACCGATGGTAGTTCAGGCGCTACCTGTACATAAACCGCACACATAATGCAGATCTGGCAAGATCACTTTGACTGTCTCTTGAACAACCGTTCAGAGATCGACTGACCTACATCGAACGGCCATAAGTAGTACGATGTGTAGGCGAATCTGGCACACCCACGCCGACACTGGATGACACAGAAAGCACTTGCTTAGCTGAGAAACGGCAAGTGTGCCGGAGCCGACGGGATCTCGCCTGAAATAACGCAACACAGCGGACCTGCGTTGTTGACCGCGCTGCACCACTTGGTGCAACGCGTATGGATTGAGGAGCAGGTGCCTCCTGAGCTGAAGGACGCTCTTGTGCTACCACTGTACAAGGGTAAAGGGAGCAAGCAATGTTGCACGAATTATCGTGGCATCAACTTGCTGAGTTGTGTGGGCAAGGTGATTGCCCGAATCCTGCTCAACCGCCTCGTCATTCAGGTTGTGGAACCTGACGTGGCGGAAGAGCAATGTGGATTCCGTTCAGGTCGCAGCACTATAGATATGATGTTTGCGGCTCGTCAGTTGCAGGAGAAGTGTAGAGAACGCCACCAGCAACTGTATTCGCTTTTTGTTGATTCCACCAAGGCATTTGATACGGTGAACCGCGAGGCATTGTGGCTGGTGTTGGGTAAGTTTGGTTGCCAACTTAAGTTTAATTGGATGTCTGCACAGTGGTATGCGAGCGCGGGTGCAGCTAATTGGTGAGACATCGGATGACTTTGCAGTTGTTTCTAGTGTGAAGCAAGGCTGTGTCTTAGCTCCTGCCCTGTTTAATGTATATCTTCATGCCATGATGTCTTGTGCTTTTGACGCGGCTTGTGCTTACGGTGTTCGTGTGGAGCACCGTATTGATGGTGGGTTGCTGAACATCCGTCGTTTCGGTTCGAGAACTCTAGGCTGTGAGACAACTATCCGTATGTTGTTGTTTGCTGACCACTGTGCGTTGTTTGCACACAGCGCGCATGAGTTGCAGCACATGACTAGTGCTCTGGCTTCGACAGCGGCCAAATTCGGGCTGAACATCAACACAAGCAAAACTGTCTGTCTCTTCCAGCCTTCACCGGAGATGCAATCTTCAATATTGGCGCGAATCAGCATTGGTACTGAAGTATTGGAAACCACCTTCCGTTTCAGCTACCTTGGGAGTGTGATGTCGACTGACCAGCAGCTACACAGTGAGCTTCGTACCTTTGTGTCGAAAGCAGCGGCGGCATTCGGGAAGCTAGAGTACCGAGTGTGGAACAACCATCAGCTTGCCATTGTCACGAAGCTGATGGTGTACAAATCCATGATGCTGTTCATTCTTCTATACGGCAGTGAAACGTGGACGACGTACCGGCGGGTTGTGCGATATCTTAAGCGGTTCCATCAACAGTGTTTGCAGCGGATTATGCGCACCGGATGGGTCGACAGAGTTGCTGACACGGAAGTGTTGCGTCGAAGTGGAATGTATGCAGTGGACTGCATACTCTTGCTGAGACACCTGAGGTAGCTCGGTCATGTGATCCGTATGGATTCGACGCGGATACCGAAACAACTCTTATACGGTCAGCTAAGTATTGGGAAGTGGCATGTGTGGAAACCAACGTTACGTTACCAGGGCATGATCAAAGTGAGCCTCACATGTTCTAATCTTGATTGCTGGTCATGGGAATCAATGGCGGTTGGTCGGTGTGCATGGCGCTATCTAATCACGAAGACAGTTGCCGAAGTGCGGGGAGAGACCTCATACATGCAGATAAGAAGCGTTGATTACGGAAGCGGCCATCGCCGATGGGTTGTACTCTATCGACATCGAGCGCATGGTGCTGTAGCACATGCGGTCGCGAGTGCCTGAGTCAGGCAGGCCTAGTGAGCCATGAGCGGGGCCACTCGGGACCACTACCGATGCGACGACGGGTCCTGCAGTGAACAAAGGCAAAACCAGCGCAGCGTTTGTAGGTACGCTGCATTCGATTTACTAACCGCGTGCTTGCATGCTAAGTCTCTTTACTTTAGGTGGTGGGTTTTCATTTTTGTCCTAATGCTTTTCTTTCCCACATGAATGCCTACTTATACCCTCTTCTATATACTTGCACACGTCGCTTAAGCCAATTTTAGTTATCTCGATAAAATTCTCGTTTTTGCAGCATCTCCGTAAATAAACTTCCTGACCTCGTGAACTTACCTCGTATTCGTTTGTTGACAACTTATTTCATCTGCGCATAATTTAAGCTTTCTGTAACCTTTTTTGCATTGCACGATTTATTTTCTTGGTGATCTTTCTCTTAAGTGATTGGATGTTGTTTGATATCCCCGGTGTGGCTGCGCTTGATGTGCATGTTGACAAGGTGCCTACCTGTCTGTTACCCACTGTCTTGTGCATACTGGCTCCAGGGGACAGTTGGTAGTTGCTGGAGGGGACGGGATGCACAGTCCTTGTGGCCGTGTTAGGCTCGAAGAGTGGTTCCATGCACTCAGTGTGGAGTGGTCTACGGTCCAGCCACCGCCTTGTGTGCGATTGATTCCCAACTACAGCGTGCTTGTGTTTGCCTGTGAAGGAGTGTGGGCCGGCTCTATTGATGAAACGTGGCTCCCATCCACATGCCTCCCGGTCTTATTCCTTCGGGTTTACATTGGATATGGGGTGT